TTTCGCATATTCAAGTCGCACTGCTGTAGGTCGATACCTAATCTAAGAAAATCGTCTAGTTTGCCTTCTTCTAAAGTGCTAGGTCCTTCCGCGCTAATAGAAGATTTGATCGCGGTTACATCAGTTTTAAATTAACGCTCGCGTTAACGTTAACGCTGTTCGATCCCTCGTGTATTTTAGTTGCACTGCTGTAGGTCGGTACTCGAAAATCGCCTAATTTGCCTTCTGAAGTTCTGTAGTGTCTTCCGCGCTAATAGAAGATTTAATCGCGGTTACATTAGTTTTAAATTAACGCACACGTTAACGTCAACGCTGTTCGTCACCGTAGTACTCAAAACAATCGTCTTTTTTGCCTTCTTCTGAAATGCTAGTTTCTTCCGCGCTAATGGAAGATTACCATCGCGGTTACATTAGTTTTAAATTAACGTTAACGTTAACGCTCTTCGTAACCGTGGTGTTGTTCAGCGTTAACGCTTGGTCCGTATCCTTGTTCTCAGAGGTGGGACCAACTGGACACGGCGGTGGGACGAAGGAGCTAATATGGGGCCTTGACGATCCGAAGGATCCGTGTCGGCCCCTCAGAAAAATCCCGGGGAACGTTCGACACTACAGGAACAACGATTGCGGACCGTATGTCTGCGGTTTCAACGATACCAACTGTAAAGGCGCGAGGATCATGCTCTTCTCAGTGGCGTGGCGTGAATTGCGATGTATCGATTGTTGTGCCATTTAAACCTATGAAAAAAGATCGATTATCAGGGTGTTCGCAGCGAACACCTTAAAAATCGATTCTTTACCATAGCTTCAAATGGCGAGATATCGATGATCNCGATCCATCGTGTATTTTAGTTGCACTGCTGTAGGTCGGTACTCGAAAATCGCCTAATTTGCCTTCTGAAGTTCTGTAGTGTCTTCCGCGCTAATGGAAGATTTAATCGCGGTTACATTAGTTTTAAATTAACGCACGCGTTAACGTCAACGCTGTTCGTCACCGTAGTACTCAAAACAATCGTCTTTTTTGCCTTCTTCTGAAATGCTAGTTTCCTCCGCGCTAATGGAAGATTATCATCGCGGCTTCATTAGTTTTAAATTAACGTTAACGTTAACGCTCTTCGTAACCGTGGTGTTGTTCAGCGTTAACGCTTGGTCCGTATCCTTGTTCTCAGAGGTGGGACCAACTGGACACGGTGGTGGGACGAAGGAGCTAATATGGGGCCTTGACGATCCGAAGGATCCGTGCCGGCCCCTCAGAAAAATCCCGGGGAACGTTCGACACTACAGGAACAATGATTGCGGACCGTATGTCTGCGGTTTCAACGATACCAACTGTAAAGGCGCGAGGATCATGCTCTTCTCAGTGGCGTGGCGTGAATTGCGATGTATCGATTGTTGTGCCATTTAAACCTATGAAAAAAGATCGATTATCAGGGTGTTCGCAGCGAACACCTTAAAAATCGATTCTTTACCATAGCTTCAAATGGCGAGATATCGATGATCGATTATTCACGCCACGCCACTCGTGACTCTCCTGGTGCAACAAGGGTGTGAATGTCACCGGCGTCATGCTGCGGCCGGAAAACCAGCCGCGATCCGTCAAATACTGTCGCACGCATTAACCCGAGTCTGCCGCCCACAGCAAAAGCGCCGTAACTCCATTACAAATTTTGTATTTTCCCTCCACACATACTGATCTAATACGAGAAAATCCTAGTATGTGGCAAGGCTCCATCATTTTAATTTTGAGTTCCTATTGGTGTCCTAAAATTGGTCACAGCAAAAGCGCCGTAACTTTATTACAAATTTTGTATTTTCCCTCCACACATACTGCTCTAATACGAGAGAATCCTGGTGTGACAAGGCTCCATCTTTTTAATTTTGAGTTCCTATTGGTGTCCTAAAATTGGTCACAGCAAAAACGCCGTAACTCCATTACAAATTTTGTATTTTCCCTCCACACATACTGCTCTAATACGAGAGAATCCTGGTGTGACAAGGCTCCATCTTTTTAATTTTGAGTTCCTATTGGTGTCCTAAAATTGGTCACAGCAAAAACGCCGTAACTTCATTACAAATTTTGTATTTTCCCCTCCATACATACTGCTTTGATACGAGAAAATCCTAGAGGTTCAGTTACACGATCAAATTGAGCCATCAAACTGAAGCTCTGATTGGTGGAAACAGACCTGAGGTGAGGATGCGACCAATGAGAGGCCCAATTTGATGGCTCAATTTGATCGTGTAACTGGATCGTAGTGTGACAAGGCTTCATATTTTTAGTTTTGAGTTCCTATTGGTGTCCTAAAATTGGTCACAGCAAAAGCGCCGTAACTCCATTACAAATTTTGTATTTTCCCTCCTCACATACTGCTCTAATACGAGAAAATCCTAGGGTGACAAGGCTTCATCTTTTTAGTTTTGAGTTCCTATTGGTGTCCTAAAGTTGGTCACAGTAAAAACGCCGTAACCTAATTACAAATTTTGTATTTTCCCTCCACACGTACTGCTCTAATACGAGAGAATCCTGGTGTGACAAGGCTCCATCTTTTTAATTTTGAGTTTCTATTGGTGTTCTAAAATTGGTCACAGCAAAAGCGCCGTAACTCCATTACAAATTTTTTATTTTCCCTCCACACGTACTGCTCTAATACGAGAAAATCCTAGTGTGACAAGGCTTCATCTTTTTAGTTTTGAGTTCCTACTGGTGTCCTAAAATTGGTCACAGCAAAAGCGCCGTAACTCCATTACAAATTTTGTATTTTCCCTCCATACATACTGCTCTAATAAGAGAAAATCCTAGTGTGACAAGGCTTCATCTTTTTAGTTTTGAGTTCCTATGGGTGTTCTAAAATTGGTTACAGCAAAAACGCCGGAACTCCATTACAAATGTTGTATTTTCCTTCCACACATACTGCTCTAATACGAGAAAATCCTAGTGTGACAAGGCTTCATTTTTTTAGTTTTAAGTTCCTATTGGTGTCCTAAAATTGATCACAGCAAAAACGCCGTAACTCCATTACAAATTTTGTATTTTCCTTTCACACATACTGCTCTAAGACGAGAAAATCCTAGTGTGACAAGGCCTCATCTTTTTAATTTTGAGTTCCTATTGGTATGCCAAAATTGACTCGAAAAAATGAAGGATGAACATTTGCTATAGTTTCATTGTAAAATAGTATTTTTATTTGTCAGAAAAAATCTTGTTTTATTGGAGGAAATTCGGCAGCGTCTCATGGTTCATACGGCATTCCTCGTCCGCTTGATGGATCATCATTTTGTCGTATGCATTTCTAACCAGTATTTACAGACGCTACCTCAAATAAAATGTAACTCACGAGAAATTTTAAGCAAAATAAAAATATTGTACATGTAGGCCATCTGTGTATACTTATCGATTTACAACCGGGCGGATTTGCAACAACCACGTATTGAACTGTGCATACTGCCGTGCTAAGGAAGAACGCCGTATAAACATTCGAGAGTTGCCAAATTTCCTTCGATAAAATGTTTATTCTTGAGGCAAGATATGAATATTTATCCCTGAAATTTTCAGGAACTTCGGGTGAAATCACGATTAAGAGTATCTAAAAAATTAGGAGGAAAATATTCATAAGTTCACCAGGAAATTCGAGTTTTATCAAAGGAAATTTGGCAACGCCTGAAGGTTCATATAGCGTTTTTCCTTAGCACGGCAGCATAGTTCTCTGACATAAAAGCATAATTCGTCTTCGTGTAACGAGTCAAGATTTACATTGACGTTCACGTTAGCTTTAACGTAATAATTAAAAAATAAAGTAGGTAAATCACTTATTCAAGTCTTGCGGACAAATTACCTAATGAGCTCGCTTCTTCTCGATGGAATTGAGATGCGTTCTGCCATGCTAAGGAAGAACACCGTATGAACCTCCAGGCGTTGCCAAATTTCCTCTGATAAAATACGAATTTATTGGGGAAATTGTAAATATTTTTCTTTCGATTTTTCTGGCTATTTTGTTCGCAATTTATTCTAAAATATCTGAAAATTTGAAGGAAAAATATACAAAAATTTTGTCAAAAATACATGTTTCATCCGGGGAAATTTGGCAACTCTCGAATGTTCATACGGCGTTCTTCCTTAGCACGGCAGCGTTAAAGTAATGGTAGCTATAGAAAGCTTGTATTTTGTCGTCAAAAAGTCTCTCCATCATTTGCATTTATAAAAAAGAACCACCTCACATACAATGTCTCTTGATTGTTCCTCAGACACTGAATGCATATCGCATGCCTGCCTCTTTTATGATGGGTGCATCGACAAGTGACATACGACTCAACCGGACGCATTTAAATCAAAGGGAACCATGTACATTGTGGCATGAGCCCCGTCGCACATGTATTCTTGTGGATTTCAGGGCTCATTTAAGAATGATTATAATTCCGTTTGATTTAAATACGGCCACCTGATTTAACGAAGGTAATGGATTCACGCCCAAGTAGCAGAGGTTGCAACAACTTGCAACAAAATTATTTGATTCTTGCAACTAATAGATTGATGTGCAGATTGCCTACTTCATGTCATTTTTCTCCAATTTTGGGATCGCAATTCTGTTGTCAGAAGGCTAGAGCACTCACTTACCAAAGAAATTCAACGTAATAAAGGCGTGGTTTTTTTTAGAGAAAAAACATCACATTCGATACTGATATCGAAACTGCACTCGAATGCAATGTTTTCTCTCTAAAAAAACCACGCCTTTATCACGTTGAATTTCTTTGTTAAAATTAGTAAGTGAGTGCTTTAGTCTCCTGACAACAGAATTGCGATCTCAAAATTCGAGAAAAATGACGAGTAGCTGAAAAAATGGAACCAATTGATGCGATATATCGCATGCCGTTTTGACACAAAATAAGGCGTCCATCGAATCACCTTAAGCTTGAATTTATCGATGATTCACGGTGATTAAAAGACACAGAAGTGAAGAATGTAGCGACAAGTAGCAAGAGATGAGTAAATAAAAAGTAGATTTTACCTTAAGAAGTGAGAAACCACGGACGATCCACTAAGATAAATTGAACCTGAAAATTGAATAACCACTTGAATAATTACTTACTACCCGTAGGTTAGTTTCGATCAACGATCAAATAGCCTTTTCCGCGTTTCTACTCAAAATCAGTTTACCCTACACTGCCGGGCAAAGACCAATAATTATTGGTCACACACCGATAAGATAAACCGCTCATCTGCCGTTATCCGTTCAAAATGAGCCCATTCTCGAAGCGCCACCGTGTCTCTCGCGCATATCCGCGCAGGTGACGATTTCTCCTTCGATTTCATACGATTCTTGGAAATTCTCAGTCGAAAGGTCTGGAACATCGGGGAATATTTGAGATTTTAATGAGGGGGTTTGACTTAAAAATTGGTCAGATTTTTCACCTGTGCGCGCAGTCACCCTGTGATCCCCGGGTTTTCTCCATTGGAAAAAAAAACATTGAATCTAAAGTCCAGACTCTTAAAAACATCGAAAAGAAAAAATACTCTTGATTCAATCAGATTTAAGCTTAAATGAAGAACCCAGCCTCTTAATTTGAGCGGATTTCCTTTTGATTTAAGCAAAAATCCGATTGAATCAAGAGTCCTTATTCTTGTCAATGTTTTCAAGAGTCTGGACTCTAGATCCAATGTGTTTTTTTTCCAGTGTCCTTTCATTAATTTCTAAAAACTAATATCTTGCTATGGGGGTTTTTTTTTTTATACATCCAGCTCTCTTTGTACAGTACTTGTAGAGTATTTAAAGGGTATTACAAGAGGAGGATAAGTGAAATTTTTGTCACTCCACCAAACGCTCTTTTGAAGGTGAAAAATAAAATTGAAGCTTATGACACAAATGAACTAAGTACGGACATGAATTATTTTGAGGTCAGGTCATGGAGCAGTGGCGTGGCGTGAATTTCGATGTATCGATTGTTCTGCCATTAAAACCTATGGTAAAGAATCGATTATAAGGGTGTTCGCTGCGAACACCCTGTTTATCGATCCTTTCCCATAGGTTTAAATGACATAACAATCGATATATCGCAAAGCACGCCACGCCACTGTCATGGAGCTTTTAGGGCCCAAAAGGAGGCTACCTACGAATTTGAATTACCCAGAGTGATTTTTAATTACAATCATTGTTACTTAGTTTTTGCATAAATTTAATCATTTTGCGGAATGATGCTTCTTTATGGACATTTTTGGCCATCTTGGTTTGATATTGCAATCTGACGTTTGGCAGTGAAATGTTTTATGTTTGGAGGTTGGCTGCCCTTTTGGGCCCTAAGAGCTCCGCATTTCACAGTGCTCGTATTCTCTTCATATAAGTACTCTAGTACAGTTGAGGAGCTTGGAGAACAAGGCTCACAAGTGCAGTATTTTAATAAATCGAGTTATTAATAATGTCAAGTAAAACTAGTCTTAATGCATATTCTGAGAAAAATTCGCTCCCGAATCACAATTTTTAAGCATCGAAAAGTCAGTTTTAACTTTCCGCCATAAGACTCCATGTAATTTCGAAACTTCAAACACGTATTTCTCCGTATAGCGAAAAACTGCACTAATGCGCCTCGTCCTCCTACCCCCTCAATCGAACCGATTGTTTTCCAAATCACGTAAGCGCCAATGTCTATTTTGGTGGTAGAGGGTTTGTTTTTCTTGTTTTTTCTGATATAACCAATCATGTCTGATTTCACAATAGCCTTCTAAAAGAACATATATTTTTTGGAATTCGAATGATGGTCAACAAAACGAATAAAACGGGTTTCCTTGTTTTATTCACATTCGCAATTTTGAAACTTACGTGATTTGGGAAATAATCGGTTCAATTGATTGGTTTCTTTTTGTGGGATTCTCGCTCTACCCAGCACACTATGGATCGAGTCAACATGAGAAGTCGGACAATATTTGGAAATTTGAAACACCTATACCTCCGCTTATACTCAACTTTGAGGTTCTAAAAGTGGCTCCACTGGTTTGTCCGTGAAATGTTCTTTCAGGAACATCCCTCACAATTCAAAATGTGACGAAATAAACATCAAAATATCGAAGGTGTAAGCCGTCAATCACATATCTCGGTTTGCGACGTCTTAGACTTCCCATCATACTTTATTTTTTAAACGGAATACTACCGGACGGCAATGTTTTAAAACTGCCGGGATTTTTCTTCTCTGTGCGAAGAAAATCCCGCAAAAACTTCAAAGAATGATGTCTATTCGTTCTCCTTTGAGAAAATAACACAGAGGCGGAGATTTTTCAGACGCCGCAAACAAGATATAAGATAGCGGACCCACGCCGCACAGTGGATCGAGTCAATTAGAGAGGTCGGACATGAAATTTTACACGAAAACTGCGACTTTTGTTGTTTATCTCGTCACATTTTAAAGTTCGAAGGGCGCTACTGTAGAAAAATTTCACGAGGAAACCAATGAAACCACTTTTAGAACTTCAAAGCTTTGTATAAACGGAGTTATAAGCGTTTAAAGTTTCCAAATTTTGTCCGACCTATCCTATTGACTCGATCCACCGTGGGCCGTCGATATATAGTTTTCTGCCGTGATAGCGAAGAGAGCTGCAGGTGCTAAAATGAAGTTTTAAGAAAACGGGCTCAGAAGCTTCTGATCGGAAAATATTAATGAAAGAAGCCTCCGTTCTTTGTCAAATCGCCATTAATCGTCCAAAAGACTCGCAGAAATCCTTTGGATGATTAAAAATCGACCGATTTTATCTCAAGTACCTACAAAAAAAGGTATTTTTCATTTTCATACCAGGTTATTGTGTCAGGCAAGACAGTCGTAAGTGCTATCTTCTGCATGCTTTCGTGGTTGCGTTTTGGACGCTCAACAGTCACATTTTCAGGTTAGAAATTGGCAGAAGAGGGTGGCACTTTATTGGAAAGCACTGTTTTCATTGGCTCTCATGCACCTACGGCTGTCTTAAAAAAAACTATGTCATTTTTTGTGCACTTACGGCTTTCTCATACGTCTTGTTTTCATTAAAGTAGGATAAATTTTGCCGTTTTAGCTGTCTCAGTGATTTCATCTGAAAGAGTTTAAACGAATTTTGAAGAAAACTCGAAAATTTTGCACTTACAGCTGTCTTCGCTATCACGGCAGTTTTAGTTAGCAATTTCAAGTCCGACCTCTCCTATTGACTCGATCTACTGTGCGGCAGTTCTTTTCGCCGTTACTGAAAGAAAATAGTCTTACCCATTTCCAGATTCATATTCCTAAACGTCCAATATATTACACCGGGGGGAAAAAACCGAAGCAAACGCGGCGCTAAGAGCAGAAATCGCGTAAGACGGGGCAGGCGGACACTAATGGATCGGGAAATCCTGTCGCGGGTTCGGAGCACGTGGGTCGTGGGTCGGGCTCTCTCCTGCTCCTGCGGTCGGTCGCTTCCGAGAGCTGGTCTTCCACTGTCCGGTCCGGCCAAGTCGGGCGGTCGCGGGCGACCGCGGCCTCCTGCGTGGGAGGCAGCCGACCGGTAAAGGCCAGGTCCAGGTCCAGCGGGAGGTGGGATCGCTGCCCTTGTCAATGAAAGTCCACAGGTCAGTGTGGCTCCGAGCGAACGGACTGTGACTGCGGAGGCGCTAATGGATCGTCGTAGATTTGCGCATGATGAGACGGGGAACGGTGTTGTCGATTGGTCTCGAGTAGAGACAGCATATGAATCAGTGAGTTCGAAAACACACCAACTCGGAAAAAAAATTGTTCAGGAAACACCTAAAACTGCGCAGCATGTTCATTTCCCACCATGTTTTGTTCAAACTATAAGCAATTTGCTATAGCTGAGCTAAAGAGTCAGGATTGAGGTTGCTACATGTTTATATTACAGAGAGTGTCATGGTAATTTTGAGTGTGCAATTTGACTCACGCAGACCATTGAGTTTTTATGAGCAGGAGGTTTGAATTCAGGCGTCAAGAAACGTTAAATATATTGGTTAGGAGTAAATTTCAGTAATTTTCGTTGCGCAAATCGTAGCCTGCGTAAAATTTTGGTTGAGAAACATGTATCAGAATACTTGAATTCGTACCTTGTCTAGTGGTCCATTGTTGTGGTAAAGTTTAAAATGCAATTTGACTCACGTAGGCTATTGTGTTTTCACGAGCGAAAGGTTTGAATTCACGCATCAAGAAACATTAAATATTTTAGTTGGGAGTAGTTAATTTCAGTAATTTTCGTTGCAAAAATCTTGTTTTACGTGAAATTTGGGTTAGGAAATATGTATCAGAATGCTTAACTTCGTACCTTGTCTAGTGATCCATTGTGTATATATCGGATAGATAACTATTCGAACTCGCTTGTAGGTATATTGCCTATGCAGCAAAATTGAAGGCGAGCCTCAGATAGACGATACCAATCAATTGGTTAACATTATCTGTCATCGCTTCAATCATATGAGCTTATGAAATGGTGTAAATGTGCGCCTTTCGATTATGGAACTATTGACGCTCCCTAGTAGGCATGTTGCCTACGCAGCAAAGTTGAAGGCGAACTTCAAGTAGACAATATCTGGCCATAATTTTGTGTACTGGTTCTACCAAAGTATATCGAGAAAGATAACTGTAAGATTTTTAGTACATAACTATTCGCTCTCTTTGTCTGGACGGTGAAATTTTTAAAACATGTATCTTGGTTTGTGGCATTGCAGACTCGCTGTCATACCTCATTTTTCTGCGGAACAATATTCAAAATCATTTCTTAAAAACTTTCGTATTTTTCTTCTTTGCGTGAAGAAGATGCAATGAAAATTTCAAGGAAAGGAGTAGATGCCTTCTCCATTAAAAGTGAAATACCTAAGATGGGATGTTTAAAAACTCGGCAATGCAGATACTCAACTGTGGATTTTCACTGTCGATCCATAGACCTAGACACTTCGAACGGGGGGGGGGGGNTTGTCAAAATTTTAAAGCATCGAATATGCGGTCTGATTTAATTTCGTCTATAATAATCACCAAATGTAAGCGTTATTCCTTCTCCTTCCTCCGTTCTTTTCCTTTTTTCTTTCTTCCCTATTTCTTCCCCCTTAATTTTGGATGAACGGGAGGGGGGATGGCCCCTGCGCCCTCCCCCTGCACCCGCCCATACGTCGATTTGTTCTTATGAACATAATACTGCCGTGCTAAGGAAAAACGCCGTATGAACATTCGAGAGTTGCCAAATTTCCTTCGATAAAATGTTTATTTTTGAAAAAAGGTATGGACATTTTCCCTTGAAATTTTCAGGAAATTTAGGTGAAATTGCGGACAAAATTATCCGAAAAATTGGAGGAAAAGCGTTGACAAATTTTCCCGAAAATTCGTGATTTATTAAAGAAAATTTGGCAACGCTAGAAGGCTCATACGGCGTTTTTCCTTAGCACTGCAGAATACTCCGGTTTCATTAAAGAAGTCAGACGGACTTCCCGTCGGGAAAATTAAGTGCATGCATGGAAATTTTAAAAAATCGCAATGAAAATTTCTCTTTTTTATTTTTGTAATTGTATATTTTCTTAGTTTGATCTTTAATTTACGCATTACAAGCAGATTATTGCATTTTGAAATCACTTACCATTATCTTGTCGACTTAAATTTGAATTTATTCATAATAATTATAGATATAATTTATCTCGCCACATAAAGAATTTTGGATCCATCGAAAATCATTCGGATATATTCAACGTTGCTTTTATCATCAAACGACAGTATCTTGTTTTTTATCGGCGGGTACTTTGAGTACAAAACACGCTTGATTGTGGGCTAGTCATCATTTTTGCATAACGTTACACCATTTCAGAAAGACTGAAAAGTTGTTTTATGCCTTCACACGATCCTTAAGAACACATCGAATAAAATATTTACTCAAAAGTATTTACTCGAATAACTAGTTCAGTATTATTAAGTACTACTTAAATATGGGAATGGTTTTTTTTAGGGATGACTGCTGCTGTCTTTTTCCTCGGATGATCATCTCCATCGATCATTCTCTTCCTCATCTTCAGTATCTTTTTCCGAGGGCTCTCCCTCATCTTTGGTTTCCTCCTCTGGAGATTGCTCCTGGTCCTTCGTTTCCTTTACTGAGGATTCTTTATCTTTTTCCTGTCTATCTGACGATTTTTGGTCGTCTTCGGTTTTTCCTTGCGATCCCTTATCTTGCTCCGTGATGCTCTCTTCTCGTGATTCTTTTCTGTCTTCAGTTGCTTCCGGTGATGGTTTTTTCTCATCTTGACTTTCTTTCCGTGGAGATTTCTTTTTCTCATCATTATTTTCTTTTCCTGATGGCTTTTTATCCGGTTTGGATGTCTGATCCGACGATTTTTTGCCATTTTTTCTTTGTTCTCTTGCTGATTTTTCTGAGGAATTCTTCTTCTCCTCTGAAGAATTCTTCTGATCTTTGCGGCTTTTTGATTGCTTTCTATCCTTGACCCCTTCTTCTGATGAATTTTTTGGTTTCCTCTGATTCCTGGATTTGTTTTGATTTTTGGCTTGCTCAGAAGAATACCCTCGGTTTTTTGTTTTACCCCTGGTAGATCCTCTCTCCATCTCCTCTGACGACACTTCGATTTCCTTTGTATCCTCCTCTGATGATTTCTCTCTCATACGGTTTCTAACGTCTTCCGAATTTTTTCTCCGATCCCTATTTTTTTCATTAGACGATCTGCTCTGTTTTCTACTCACTTCCCTTGGTTCACTTCTGCGATCACTGCCTGAACTTCCTCTCGGCTTCCCTCCATTTTTGGGATCTCGATCGGATGATTCTCTTCGATCCTCTCTCTTCTCTTCCTTGGATGATTCCTTTCGATTCCTTTCAGCCACCTCTTCGGACTTGCTCCTTCTGTCAGACTCTTTCCTATCTCTAGGGACATCTTCTGATTTACCTCTTGTGTTGGGTGGTCCTCTCTGATCCTTAAAAGATCTGCTTCTATCTTCAGACGATCTGCTCCGACCCTCAGACCGTCCATTTCGACTTTCAGAGGATCTTTCATCCCCCGAAGATCGACCTCGATCCTTAGATGATCTGCTCTGTTTCTGAAATTCTCTGCTCCGTTCCTCGGACGATCTGCTCCGATCCTCGAACGATCTGTTCCGTTCTTCGGACGATCTGCTGCGATCGTCGGATGCTCTACTCCGATCCTCAGACCGTCCTATTCGACTATCAGAAGATCTTTTATCCCCTGAGGATTGACCTCGATCCTTAGATGATCTGCTCCGATCCTCGAACGATCTGCTGCGATCGTCAGATGATCTGCTGCGATCGTCGGACGATCTGCTGCGATCGTCAGATGATCTGCTGCGATCGTCGGACGATCTGCTGCGATCCTCGGAAGCTCTGTCCTGATTCTGAGACGATCTTTCTCCAAAAACCTCTTTCCGCCATTTGCTCATTTCCTCAAGCAACTCCTTCCGAACCTTCTTATCTTCTTCGGACTCCTTTCGATCTTCTCGTTTCTCCTGGGAGTTCTCTCGGGTGTCCTTTTCTTTCTCCCGATGTTTCGGTTCATCCCTCTTCGAATCTCCTCGCTCAGGCTTTCTGCGATCTTCGTCAGGTTCCTCTTGACCTTGCAAAGTGCAACAGTTCCCTAAACCGCACCCGCACACTCCACCCCCACAACCGCGATCAACGCAATTTCCGCTGGACGTCGAGCAACCTCCTCCGCAACAGGGGCATGTATTCTGATTACAGCCCCCGATGAACCCGCAACAACAGCCATCCCTGCACACGACAGCGTTGTTCGCAGGGATCCCGCGTGGCCCCAGACCGCAAATTTCGAAGACACACCCGGCCAGGGGTTGTTGTCTCCTCTCCGCCTCGGTGAGGTCAATTCGCGATGTTGTAACGTAGAGGGTGCTCAGGTCCGGGCCGCCCCAGGCGCAAGAGGTAACGTCTCGCACCGGGAGTATTATCTTCCTCATTAGCTTACCTTTTTCGGGGTCAACTTCAATCACCTGTGAAAGAGGGGAGTAACGAAATTATGCGTATCTACAAGGTTAATACACTGGGGGAAAAAAAACATATTGGATCTAGAGTCCGGACTCTTAAAAACATCGACAAGAAAAAATATACTCTTGATTCAATGGGATTTTAACTTTAATCAAGAACCAAGCCTCTTAATTTGAGCGGATTTCCTTTTTATGTAAGCAAAAATCTGATTGAATCAAGAGTATTTCTTCTTGTCAATGTTTTCAAGAGTCTGGAATCTAGATCCAATGTGTTTTTTTTCCCCCAGTGTAGGGCCGCGTTCAGCAGAATTCACCGGCTATTTGAGAGCCACTAGCAATAAACTGAATAGTGCCTTCATCGTTTCTTGCAAGACACTGCATCTGCATTGTAGTGATGAGATTAAGCGGGAAAGCGAGAGGATGCCATCATATCGACCCTCAAGTGGTTTAAATTGCATAGTCACTGAATTGCAGGATGCAGGCGTTTCAGTTTCTTGGTGATATTCTCTCCCTCTCCCGCTCTCCCGCTNATGTAAGGCGTATTTGAACCGTGTTAAATTAGCGAAAGGGAACCAAGCCACATCAGCTATTACAAAATTCAACTGGGTAATTTAAGTTTTCAGAAAAGAACGTTTGAGCGGTTTCCAATGAAAATTTTAAGGAATTTGCCTCGTACTATGCAAAGAATACACTGAAATTTGCACAAACAACCGCACAACCGTTTCCATGTAAAAAATTAAATTGCCCAATAAATGTTGCAATAGCTGATGTGGCTTTATTCCTTTCTACTTCAATTCACTACAATTGACAGTGAATCAACGACAACACTTATCTCCATCAGGGTGCTTTGAAATATTTGCTCTAAATTAAATTTTTATGAGAGTACCAGTAGATAATTTTCGTCAAAATATCGAGAGAGTATTCTTGGAAGGATAAAGAAACGTCTCTAGAAACTTTTTGCATGACGATCCCTCATCTTTCTTCATGGAGGATAAACTGACAGGACATCCTCAACGTTGCAATCGACTACACCATTTCGTGGTTCCATCATTGGATTCATACGCAAAAAAATCATGGATCTTTAAACATAATTTCAATCAGCAAATAATTAAAACATTGGCGAGGTCTTGGAACCTGGACCATCATTTACTCTCGTTTCTAACTAGATCGTATCTTCATTCAGGCGTCAAGCAAAACTGAACGGCAAATATTAAGAACTTTTGCAACCCTTCTTCAGAACATGCACTAAAAATGCAGTTCATCCAAAGCAGAATGAATGCAGTACTTTTTCGATGCCTTTTAAGTTGATTGTTACATTGCGAGTCCATTTTATTTAGTTCCATTTCTTCCTGCGCTTGTTAATTTTTAATCCTTCTAAAATATTATCCTTTCACTAAAAATACAAGCCTACCTTGAGCACACTTAAAGTTTGCGGTCAAAACTGCAACAGCGGTAAAGGTAAACTGACCAGGTGGCAGCGTGGAGGCTGATTTAATATCAATCTTCCATCGCATTGCTAAGGCGCAATGATACAACTATTCGTACTCTCCGGAACGCGTGAGGTATCACGCCACATTTGAAGGCGTTTTCGAAACTGCCAACTTTCCAAATCAGAAACCTTTTGTCGCATAGATAGGCGTCAACCAAAACTGGCCGGCAAATATTAAGCACTTTTGCAGCCCTTCCTCAGTACATGTACTAAAAATTTCAGTTCCTCCAAAGCAGAAAAATGCAGTACTTTTTCGATGCCGTCTAAGTAGATTGTTAAGTTGAGTTCATATTATTTAGTTGCATTTCTTCCTGCGCTTGTTTATTTTTGATCCCTCTAAAAAATTATCGAATTTCTTATGTGAACCTAGCTTGAACACTTTTAGTCCTCGCGGTAGAAACTGCAGCAGCGGTAAAGGAAAACTGACAAGGCCGCAGCGTGTAGTCTGATTTAATATCAATCTTCCATCACATTGCTAAGGCGCAATGATACAACTATTCGTACTCTCCGGAACGCGTGAGGTATCACGCCACATATGAAGGCGTTTTCGAAACTGCCAACTTCCCAAATCAGGATACTTGCGGCGCTTAGATAGGCGTCAACCAAAACTGGCCGGCAAATATTAAGGACTTTTGCAACCCTTCTTCAGTACATGTACTAAAAATTCAGTTCCTCAAAAGCAAAAAAAATGCAGTACTTTTTCGATGCCTTTTAAGTTGATTGTTACATTGCGAGTCCATTTCATTTGGTTCCATTTCTTCCTGCGCCCTTACTTTTAATTCTTCTAAAATATTATTTTTTCACCAGTTAAGTTGAGTTCATATTATTTAGTTGCATTTCTTCCTGCGCTTGTTTATTTTTAATCCCTCTAAAAAATTATCGAATTTCTTATGTGAACCTAGCTTGAACACTTTTAGTCCTCGCGGTAGAAACTGCAGCAGCGGTAAAGGAAAACTGACAAGGCCGCAGCGTGTAGTCTGATTTAATATCAATCTTCCATCACATTGCTAAGGCGCAATGATACAACTATTCGTACTCTCCGGAACGCGTGAGGTATCACGCCACATATGAAGGCGTTTTCGAAACTGCCAACTTCCCAAATCAGGATACTTGCGGCGCTTAGATAGGCGTCAACCAAAACTGGCCGGCAAATATTAAGGACTTTTGCAACCCTTCTTCAGTACATGTACTAAAAATTCAGTTCCTCAAAAGCAAAAAAAATGCAGTACTTTTTCGATGCCTTTAAGTTGATTGTTCAATTGAGTTTATATTATTTAGTTATACTTCTACCTGCGCCCTTACTTTTAATTCTTCTAAAATATTATTTTTTCACTAAATACAAGTGTTTCTTGAGCACACTTAAACAACAGTTCACAAATTATCAAACATTTTCCGGAGGGCATCTCGGTCTCCCTCGGAACTAGACTCAGATTCCTCTGGAGAGGGGGGGGGGCTTTAGTTTTATATTATTCGGTCACCTTACTATTCAACTAACTTTTAAAAATAGGTAACTAAGACCGCTGCTTACCTGATGTCCACCGTAACAAGCTATCCAAAGATTGTCATTGCAGTCGATCGTCATGCTATCGGGATTTCCTGGTAAGCCGTTGGCATTGAAGTCAAACACCACCTTTTTGTTACCTGTGAAAAGTGGATTATCCATTGCGACGTCAACGTTCTTATATTCAATTGGACTACATTTTGCAATTAAGAACTACAAATTTCGGCCCGGTTTAAAAACAACGTATGTGCCATTAGTTTCCCTATGCACATAAGTGTTTTTTTTCACTTGAGTCAGAATTTATAGCTCCAAATTGCAAAATGTAGTCCAAGTATTCATACAATTTCTAAGCCAGAATACAATTTGAAGGTAATGTATATCAATCCTTTGAAATTATGCCTATCCTATACCTATCCCAAACTACACCTACATTTCTCTTCAATTGGAAAAAAACTTATACGATACATGTTTTACATGGGTCGCCTTCCATATTCATTGTAAGAGCAATCGTGATAAAATTCTTAAACTAAATTATCAAAATGTATTTTAACTATATTTTCATACTGCTATGTAATATTCTGGCAGCATCTCTTGTACATCTACATGATACACTATAAATACATTTTTAAGAGCCTAGAGTTAATTGGGATTCTAAAATGTATCTTTGGGAAGTTTTATCAAATTTTTTGCCAGTCTTGATTTTCCCCCTTCATTGCATAGAACAATTTTTGGCTTTCCAAAAGCAAATTTCTACAGAATCAATTTTATCGCCCTTTGATTCTCTAAATTCTTAATGTATACTTTGATCAATCCCTGATACCGACGAGGGAGTGCTGGGTGTTTACCGATGTTTCGAAAGAAGAACCAAAAAAGCACAGTATTGGAAATAATCAGAGTGTCAAAATAAAATAATTCCGACTTAGATTCCCATCGGTACCTACTCACTTATCTTTCCGGTATCGATATCGTAGTCAAAACCAAAAACTTTCTCCAGCGAAGATTCGCAGAGGTACATTCTAGTGTATTTTTTGTTCCACGCCAGCCCGTTATAGAATGTCGCATCTTTATACTGTTCTGTCTTCAAATTACAATAATCTCTGTCGTACTGGAATAGACTGGCTTGGTAAGGCACCATAGTTCCGTCACAAAACATCTTTCCTTTGGTATCTACAACAAAGCGTTGAAATTCCCCATAAAAACCATGTGATATAGAACTTGTGGCAGGGTGTCTAGCTTCAGGAAAAACCGGCAAAACCGGGAAATATCAGGAATTTTGACCGATCAGGAAAAAATCAGGAAAATCGAAAAAATCAGACATTTTATCAGGAATTTTTCTTACGAGAATCTCCTCAGCGGAGAAGTCTTACTGCTTTTTGCCTACCGTACGCCAGGAGTCGTCGCGCCGTCTTTGTTTCCGGAGACAAATCAGGAAAATATCAGGAATTTCCAAAATGGAAAAATCAGGAATTTTTTTTATAAAATATCAGGATTTTTCAAAATTAAAAAATACTAGACACTCTGTGTGAGTAGTTGCAAGTCGGTCCATTGGACGCATGCACGCAAAAGAAGCCCATCCGCATAAGGAACCTAGACGTCCCTTTGAACTGAGAGTAAAGACAACGCGAATCCATTTCTGATTGGTTCCCGTATTTTAGGCCGCCACAGTGTCACAAACGGGAATTAAGATTACTTTACACTTTTTCATTGCAAAGATTATAAGCTGGAATGAACCGGGGAATCGGGGGCAAGGCAAAAAACAAATGGAATGAGAGAGGGAATGGAGACAGGAATTCGGGAGTAGGTTGATCAAAGATTACAAAAAGCGTCCGATCTGAGTAATCTTCATTCCCGTTTGTGACATCCATGGCCCCCCAAGCAAGGGGGTCCGGGGCGGGTCTCATCCGGGAAATTTGCAAAGAAATAAACCCTCTCGGATCTAGTTTTATGCAGTTTTAGCGCACAATGTGTGTATTCCTTAAAAGTTGAAAATTAACATATATTTGTAATATCTCGTATGGAAATTTTTTTCCCATTTATCTCTACGGTATTGAAAAACCTTTCGTTCAGTAAACTTGGTTACATAGTTCTGAAGTGCTGTCACAACACCATTTCAGTAAAATTTTAGAAGAACGTTTTTTCTCTCCCTCTTTTTCCCCCTTTCCTCCTTTTCCCCTTCTTTTTCTTACACTGGAAAAAAAAAAACGCATTGGGTCTAGAGTCCAGACTCTTCAAAACGTTGACAAGAAAAAGGACTTTTGATTCAATCAGACTTAAGCCTAAATCAAAAGTAAATCCGCTCAAATTAAGAGGCTTGGTTCCTGATTTAAGCTTAAATCTGATTGTATCAAGAGTATTTTTTCTTGTCGATGTTTTTAAGAGTCTGGAATCTAGATTCAATGTGTTTTTTTTCCCAGAGTGGGTGGGGGGGGGGGTTTGCCACCATGGCCCTTCCCCTGGATCCGCCATTGTTTCAGAATGACGTCATTCATGACGCTACATTACCCATGAAAGTCCGTCCGGTGCAGTCTGCCTTTCCGTCGCTGAAGGTAGCGAAGGCGTCGTAGTCGAAGCGACCCAGGGTCACGACCTGGGGTTTACATTCCGGTCGCCCGTTCCACGTGATTTTCACCAACTTCGGTCCGAGTCCGGCCAAAAACTCGCTGCGCGAGTCCTGGATCGGGATCACACCAGCGAGCTCCTCTCCTGGAGACAAGAGGAAACAAATTGGACCGGATCAAACAGAAAGGAACCGAGTCACATCACGACGGTCAAAATGCAAAACCACGTATCTCCATTGCGATGTTCCAAAATTTCCACTTCTATATGATTTTCTCGAAAAGAAACTAAGCGACTCCATAGTTTAAAATGTATATCGGCGGTGAAACTACCAAACCACGTATCCCGGTTTGCGACGTCGCAGACTTCCTGTCATACTTTATTTTTTAAATGAGAAACTACTGAACGCCCAGTCTTAAAAATTTCTGTGATTTGTCCTCTTCATGCGGAGAATATTCTGTGAAAATTTCAAGGAATGATATTGATTTCGTCAACTTCAAAAAAATAAAATGCGAGCGTAGATTTTTAAACACCGCAAACGAGATACGTGGTTTGGTAGTTTCACCGTCGATATGATGCAGGCAATTAACAATCGCCGGCAAATCGAAATCTATTTGTGTTGAATAAACAAATCCAAAAATTCAAAATTGAAAAAAAGAAATAGAAAGTAGCGATTATTATGCTTTGAATTCAATCGTATGGTTTTTGCTTCCTCTTGAATGCATGGTGCCAGTTGGCACACTCGCGAGTTTGTATAGTGTAACCATTCATCCTCGTTGGGTTTGATTTGGTTAAGCAACTAAACTAACTCCCTGGTAAAGCGGAGAGTATGGCTGGATTTGAAGGCGCTCCAAGCTGAGGTCGTCCCTTGAAATTATTTACCAATAAAAACTTTACTATATCGATGCAAATAGTTGCAATCCAACGAGTCAACACGCAGGGAGCTTGCAAATTGTCGGCGATTGCTGATTGCCTGTGACATATACGGAATATTCTACTGATATAGAAAACAAGAAGAAAAAATCCAACATGAGTATGTTGGAAAAGCGTGCCGAATAACTGAAATGTTGGACAAATACCTCTTTTTTTCACGTCTTTGCTTTTTGCATCAATTGGTACTTTTTGCTAAATTTGGGAGAAAATATTGATTCATGAACGTTGAATGTAAATTAATTTTAAAGATTCCGTCCAATTATCTTGATTTTAAGCTGATATGCTGCATTTGCGCACGACCGTGATTTGGGCGAACTGCCGTGCATCGAAATCGCGTTCAGTTAATCTCTTTGGATTTCGAACTGCATGTAACTTCTCTCCTATTCGGCCGATTTGTACAAATGAGGTCTCTTTTTATTTGTACTTCAACGGAAAGTAAAGAAAAACTCGCTAAATAGACGGAAAACAATTTTTGAGAAAATTTGGTGGATCCTGGCATCACGGTGAATGGTTAATCGGTTAATCGCCTCGCCGTCTTTTATTGCCTTGCTCGAAACTGGACACCCAAAGCTATAACGCGAGATAACTGTAGTGGTTTAAGTGGATTTCGGCAGGGGCCATGGTTAGTACATAGTATAATGAGTCACGAGGCTCATCACAGATTGCACTTACAGTGCAAGACGCTCATTGGCTATAGAGTTTTGGCGGGAAAGAAGGTTCTAGAGTTGAGTCCTCCGAGCGTAAGAAAGCTCCTATGAGGTTTCTGTCAAATTGAATAATACGGTTTTGACAGAAAAATGTTCTCAAGAGTTTCCAATTAGCAGTTCATTAGATTTTTTGGTAAAAAACCATCAGGGCTTGACAGTGTAATGGTTCAAAGACAAAGAAACGGGTGCGAGGAAAAAAGTATTTGGACGACCCGTTGAATAGCATTGGTTGATCTGTGTGCTGTACTATGGTACATCCGAGTGATTTCAAAAAGCGAGCCCTACTGGCACGCTTAAAAAATTAAATTAGTTATCGAAAAATTATGGTGAAATTTTCACCAACTCCGGCCCGGGTCCGGCCAAAAACTCGTTGCGCGAGTTCTGGATCGGGATTACACCAGCAAGCTCCTCTCCTGGAGACAAGAGGAACACAAATTGGACCGGATCAAACAGAATGGAACCAAGCGAAGGGGAGACAAGACTGCCCTGATAGTGAAGAGAGCAGTAATGCCGCAATCACACGCTGAATTTGGCAGCTGAATGTAGTAGTCAACAGTCAGCGCTCAACAGCGGAAATTTCATTAATTCGAGTTATTTTTATCTAAATGTGTATCAAATCTATTCGAATAGTTCAGAGAAAGCCGACATTACCTGATGGTCGCTGAGAATCGTTGCTGATCGGGCCGATGACTTCCACATTGCCACATTCAGCTCCCACATTCAGCGTGTGATTGCAGCATTAGTGCAAAAATGAAGTTTTGAGAAAACGGGCGCAGAGGCTCCTGACCGAAAAATCTTATTGAAAGAAGCCTCCGTTCCTTGCAAATTGCCACTAATCGTCTGAAAGACTCTCAGAAATTGTCTGGATGATTAAAAATCGACCGATTTTATTTCATTTACATACAAATGGTATTTCTCGTCTTCATGCTAGGCTATTCATTATCAGGCAAGACAGCCGTAAGTGCTATCTTCTGCATGATTTCGTGGTTGCGTTTTGGACACATAAAAAACACATTTTCAGGTTAGAAATTGGGATAAGAGGGCGGCACTTAACTTGAAAGCACTATTTTCATTGGCTTCTGGAGGAATATTGTCACTATAACCGCTGTCTTGCCTAAAACTACGTCATTTTTTGCGCACTTACGGTTTTCTCATATGTCTCGTTTTGATACAATTCAGATGAATTTTGCTGATCTAGCTATATCAGTGAATTCATCTAAAAGAATATGCACCCATTAGGAACTACAATCTCTGGCTCATCCGTAAGAAGACGTATGTCCATGGGAAAACTAATGGTACCTACGTCGTTTTTAAACTGAGCCAGAACTTGTAGTTTTTAAATGTAAAATGTAGTCTAATTGTGTTCCTCGCGAAATTTCATAGAAATTCATATAATTAAATCGAAAATAAGGCTAATAGAGTGATACATCAATTGAAAATTCTTCTTCTTCTTCTTCTTCTTCTTCTTCTTCTTCTTCTTCTTCTTCTTCTTCTAACTTCTGACTAGGGCCGTGACCCTGTTTGTCTAGCCTCTAAATTAGTATATAAATATGATAAATAAAATATGATGGCGATGAGAGAGATCACTTAATAATCCGGGGATGAAAGGCAGCTCTGTGCCCATCTCTTGGGCGGTCTATTGTGTTTCTCGCGAAATCTTACTATAGTAAAAAAAAATAAGGCCTTTTTTGTGTGTACGTCCGTGTCATTTCGCATTCTCATTGGTCTTTCATTAACCAATCAGAAAACGTCATTGAAAATCCCCGGGAAATTTAAATGTATTCTTCCGTAAAGGAATTATTGATAGGTAGACAGGTATAAAAATGGGATGTATTTCTTCTAATAACCAGGATAAAAGGGAGGATTATTACCTATACAGGATAGTCCTAGAAAAACGGGATGTACCTATATTAATAAACCGGGANATTGAAGATGATCTTTTGAATGAATAAGCACTTAACAGAACTTCAGCAGTATTAATATTAATACAATTTACGAAAATAATGTAAATTAAAAAAAATTAAGTGATATTTTCATAACGAATTGACAGAATATACGAGGGGGTTGGGCCGCGGAGCGGCCAGGGGGCGGAGCCCTCTAGTTTTTTAAAAAATCATATGATTAAATTGAAAATGAGGGTAATAGAGTGATGCATTAATTGGACTGCATTTTGCAATTTGGAACTATAAATTCTGGCTCATCTGAAAAAACACTTATGTGCATAGGGAAATTGATGGCACATACGTTGTTTTTAAACCGGGCCAGAATTTATAGTTCCAAGTTGCAAAATGCAGTCCAATTGAAAATGGAGTTGAGAATCTTATTTTATGAGAAAAATCTAATGAAAGGATTACCCAGGTTACAAGAACAGGCGGTGCACCCGGTTTGAGGATTGTAAATACAAATCTTTCCGACGAGTTTGTCGACGAAGAGGAGGATTTGGTTTTGACAGTCGTAGTGCGGCTCCTCCGATATATAGAATGGTCCGGAGACGACTCTGATTGAAATCTTGCCAGCTTGCACGCTTCCCAGTGACATCAATGGGAGCAGAAGCATCCAACATCTGAAAGAGATAAATCGTTAGCTAAAGTTCGATAAAGATGCGTATCGAGTAATTGCAACGTTTCAAAATCTCCATTTTTTCTGACAGGAAAACGGTAAGTTTTACTAGTTAAAAAGAAAAGAAGAAGAAAAACCTCGTAAAACAGTCGTAAATTACTATAAAGTGCAAAATTCGTGAATTGTCAGGTAAAATTCGGAGGGAGAACGAAATTAACGTTTTTCACTTCAAGAAAATACTGCACTGTATTCTGCCATGCTAAGGAAGAACGTCGTATGAACCTTCAGGCGTTGCCAAATTTCCGTGGATAAAACGCAAATTTCCTGGTCAATTTATGAATATTCGCATGCCAATTTTTTAGATAATTTAGCTCGCACATTTACCCGAAGATTCTGAAAATTTAACGGAAAAATATTCATAACTTTCCTAAAAAATATACATTTTATCGAAGGAAATTTGGCAACTCTCGAATGTTCATACGGCGTTTTTCCTTAGCACGGCGGTATTGTCCTCATAATCTTAATTTGTTTTTATTTTTTTAAGAATTTGCTCACAGTTTTTCTTTCCTTTTTCTTCTACGGCGTTTGAAACTAGAGAAATCCGCAATTGATTTTAGTTTATGCAAAAATATCAAAATTTGTTCAACAAGGTGTATTGGAAGAATGCATGTAACATTAATCTGTGCTTTAACCCTCAAGTTCATTTCATATCATGCAGATAGGTATATATTTCTCTGCATTATAGTTGCAAAATCTAGTTGTTTTTAAGCGTGCCTATAGGGCTCGCTTTTTGAAATCACTCGGATGTACTGTAGTACAGCACACCGATCGACCAATGCTTTTCAAGGGGCGGTCCGAATTTTTTTTCCGTCGGATCCGTTCTTTCGTTTTTGAACCGTTATAGTGTCAAGCCCTGAAGGTCATTCATCGAGAAACCGAATTATTCTGTTACTGGAAACCCTTGAGAACATTTTCCGGTCAAAACCGTATTATTTCATTTGACAGATCCTTCAAAAACCCTTTTTTACGCTAGAGCGATTTGAATCTAGAATATTTTTTCCCGCCGCTCTTTAATGGGTGCTTCGTACCCATTGACTATACAACATGAGCCCTATGCATTACTCCATGATAGAATGCCATATCAAAACAGCTGATATTATTAGCTCTTGGTTCAGCGATTCATTCAAGCTCATGTCTCCGAAATTTCAGTTGTTCGGCACGCTTTTCCAACATATTCATGTTGGATGTTTCTCCTTGTTTTTTATTATTTTCACAAGTCTCACCTTAAAGAATGTTTCCATACTGACAAGAAGCTGCAATTACGGATGTTGTTTTTCCCTGCCATCAGAGCATCCACTAGAGATCACAATTATTCATCGGCTAGAAATCAGCCATCTGCGCTGTAAAGTAGATCATAAATGACGGTCCTGTATAAGTAATAGGTTAATATCTCGAATAGTCTTCATTTTGTAAATGGGTTCGAAAGATGATTTTTTGCTTCCAGGAGAAAACCGAGCATGAAAGCTACGGTTAAGCCAATAATAAAATATTTTCATTTTCCCATGAAAGAATATTTGGTAATCTCTCGTTTACCACTTACTGTAATTTTCCTTGAAACGCTCGCGCGTTGACATTTTTAGATTTATTAGGCAAGGCTATCACTTATCATTTGTCGCTAATGTACTACTTACATCCATATGAAGAAGATCCAATTGTGAGAGCAACCGATCCACTGTCTACTTTGTAAGAATCTCAAGTTCCAGGTTGCGTATGTTGCCTATCTACTAATTGAAGGCGCGCCTTTTATCGAAATTCGTCGCGGTAATTGAAATTCGTTGCAATTTTTCTTTGCTTTGCAAGTTCCAGGTTGCGTATGTTGCCTATCTACTAATTGAAGGCGCGCCTCTTATCGAAATTCGTCGCGGTAATTGAAATTCGTTGCAATTTTTCTTTGCTTTGCAAAATGCTTATTTTTTATATTCGTGAAACTCATTTGGACGTATTTCTGCCAAACGGAACCAGAGACAGGTGGAAAAGAAGGGGTGTGCCTGTGCCCGTTAGTCGAGGGTCGTAAGAAAGAATGGGAATTAAAAAACGCCAGTGACGTCAGCGGTAACGACCGAGACGCGGACGACCAGAGCACTGGAAAAAAAACACATTGGATCTAGAGTCCAGACTCTTAAAAACATCGACAAGGAAGAATACTCTTGATTCAGTCGGATTTTTGCTTAAATCAAGAACCAAGCCTCTTAATTTGAGCGGATTTCCTTTTGATTTAAGCAAAAATCCGATTGAATCAAGAGTATTTTTTCTTGTCAATGTTTTCAAGAGTCTGGACTCTAGATCCAATGTGTTTTTTTTTCCAGTGTGGCGTGGCGTGCTTTGAGACAAGTACAAGTATTGTACAAGTTATTCGTATTTCTTCTTGAAATTTTCAGATATTTTAGATCTTATTGCGAACAGAATTAAGTGAAACATTCAAAGAAAAATGTTCGCAATGTTCCAAGAAAACCCGGCTTTTATCGTAGTAAATCTGGCAACGTCTAAGGCTCATACGTCGTTTTTCGTTAGCAAGGCAGCATGAGTGCCGCATTTAGTTGGCACTTCGTCCCGTTTGATAGAATGTAAAATCCCTGTTTCCCATTTTTCCAATAGGAATCGTACCTTCAAGAGCACACCCCGTCTTTCCCACTCGTCTATACTTTCTTTTGGCAGAAATATGTCCAACTTATTCATCGTTTTAAATCGGCACTCACTGACCAAATGGGGAGAAAATAAATTGCAATTTTGTAGGATGAAATCGCAAATTTGTTGGATGAAATTGCAACTTTATCTCTTGTATTTTCGCTGCACTGTGCTACTTGGAAAAATCAAAGATTCCACAATTAATTATTGTGACGCCTGATGGGACCTATGTAATATTTGGAACGTTCCTCAGAAGCGAGCACTAGGAAGAGTAAATAAAATACGTATATTTGTCTCCAAGGAAGCCCTTCTTTACTCGGAAACAACTTTTTATTTTGCCGCACACAGCTTCACTGCAACAACGAAATCAGCGAGCATCAAATGACTGTGCGTTTTATGCATGCGTTCCTCTCATTTTGATCCGACCTCGCAGTTCAAAGAGTTGGAATTTGTATGACTTTTCCTTTAGTTTGGTCCATCACCCGCAGATATCGCCCTTTGAAAAGTCGGGTTTTTAACGTCATCCACCGCGGAAGTGACACCCTTGGTTTTTTCCACCTTGCTTTCATTCAGTCGGTGTGACGCGCTTTTGCACTGGTTCCTCAACGTTAAACTCGGATGAAGGCAAGGTGGAAGGAACCAAAGGGTGTCTCTATTTCGGTGGATAACACTGTAAATCGAATTTTTCAAAGCGTGATATCTGGGTTAATGTTGAACGTGGAAAGTTGATGTTCGGACAGACCTTGTTATTTCTAGCTGATGTACAAGAGAATCTAGCATCGAAACACGATTCTGTGACCAACGCAACTGACCCATTATCACGACGCCTGTTGAGACCTATTAAATATTTTGAAACGTTCCTTAAAAAGCGGGCACTAGGAAGAGTATAAATAAAATACGTACATTTGTCTCCAAGGAAGCCCTGCTTTACTCGGAAACCACTTTTTATTTTGCCGCGCACAGCTTCACTACAACGACGAAATCAGCGAGCATCAAATGACTGTGCGTTTTATGCATGCGTTCCTCTCATTTTGATCCGACCTTGCAGTTAAAAAATTTAGAATTTGTATGAATTTTCCTTTAGTTTGGTCCATCAGCTGCGAATACAGCAGATGGTCTCTGGACTAACAGTATTGAAGCATACTTTTCCCCAATTATAGGAAACAATCTGTCTCCGTAAGTTCTTTTGTGCGAGCTTTATAAGTTCCAATCGCCTCAGGTGCGGAGAGACGATTTTGATAAGAAGTTTGTGCGCCCAGACAGTTAGCGCTGCGCACAGCCGGCGATTTTAAGTCTTGAAAAGAGCCGGTCAAAAATTTGCCCGTTTTAAGGGAACACAAGGATTTCGTTCAAGTACGCATGTCCCAAACAAAACCTCAGGAGGATACGATCTTCTCGTAAAAGTTAAAGCTCGAGTTGGAAACTCGGAATTGGCAATTAAACATTGCAAAGTCTGCATATTTTACTATAAGTGGCACCGGAACTTGTCTTATTGAGCTATAACTTTCACTTAAAGCGTCGTTTTTTGTCCACAAAATTTAATTTTATTTGTGTGTGTGTTTAATCCGTGCGGTTTTTACTGAAAGTCAGTTTTTTCGATTTAGAGAAACACTGTTTTTTGTCGTTAAGTTTAAGTTTAAAAACCATAACGAAAAAACGTTTATTTAACTAAAAAAATAAATAAATAAATAATTGTCGATAAGGAACGTTGCTTTAAGTCTAAATAATCTCTGAAGACAATTTTTTTTCCCACGAATGCCAATGTTTTGAATTTTATCAACAAGAAACGAAGCTGGAAGTAAAAATACCAAACACCGATAGATTAACCAAGTCGTTTATCAGTTCAATCAAAGCTCATGAAGGGATATAATTGTTTGTTCATCGGATAGATAACTATTCGCGCTCCCTCTTATGTTTTTTGCCTATGCGGCAAAATTGAAGGCGAACCTTAGCTGGACGATATTTGTCGATAAGTTTACGCATGGTCTATTGATTCTGTCATACTTTATGCAGCGCGAGATTAATGTGTGTTTTAAGAACAGATAACTATTCTCGCTCCCCGGTAGGTATGTTGCCGATATAGCAAGATTGAAGGCGAACTTCAGATGGTCGGCACCCAGAGGCAACAAACAGTAGGTTGAAAATATCTTTTATTGGTTCAATGAAAGATTATGAATCAGTATGAATGTGCGTTTTTCAATTAGATAACTTTTGGCGCTCCTCGGTAGGCATGTTGTCTACGCAGCGAAATTGAAGGCGAACTTCAAGTAGACGATATCTGGCCGTAGAGTCCCTAATTGAATGGGCGTATGCGAAAACGTCTGATGACCAATACATATAGTGTTTCAGAATTTGAGCGGACGATTTCGTTGTAACTTAAAGACAGAAAATGGTTTAAGACGTTTCGAATGAAGAACAATAATTTTATAAGTAATCCCCTATGATGCCCTCTCCATTAGAAGTGAAGCACTTAGAATGTAATATTTGAAGACCCGGCAATCCAGAACTCAACTTTGGATTTTCACCGTTGATTCATCCAGACACTTCGAACGGGGTAAGTAAGGGGGTTCTGGGGGGCTCCCCCCGAAACTTTTCGAAATTTTAAAGCATCTAATTAATATGCAGTTTAATTTCATTTTGTCATGAATAAATATCCAATGTAAGTGTCCTTCCTTCTTCTTTCCTCCGGTCCTTTCCTTTTTTCTTTCGTCCCTCTTTCTTTCACCTTATTTTTGGACGAACGGGGGGGGGGGGGGGGAGTGTGCCCGCTACACTCCCCCTCCCTCAGGATCCGTTTATGCGTCGATCCGTTCTTATGAACATTATTCTTCGGTTTCGTTAAATGAGTCAGACAAATTTCCTGCCGGGAAAATAAAGCGCATGCATGGGAGTTTTAAAAAAACACAATGAAAATATATCTCTTTTTTATTTTTGTAACTGTTTATTTTCTAAGTTTGACCTTTAATTTACGCATTACAAATTGATTATTGCATTTTGTAATCAATTATCGTTATCTTGTCGACTTACACCTAAATTCCTTGATTATAATTATAGAGAGTACAAAACGGTTCTTTGTGTATATTATGTTACGTAGGTAATCGTTTCCGTAATATCCAAAGAAATCTTTGCAAGTTCTGTCGAATGTTGCCGATTCGCTTTACTTTTTTGTCTCTAACTGCAATTTCATCCCTAAAAACGGTGACTTCTCTTTTGAGCTAGGAACGGCAGGCAACTCAACGACGAAATTACGTTTAAGTTTGCAGAAACAGCAAATATTCCCCTTCATCTCCTATTTTCATCTGATGATAACTCACTTATATTGAATTGGATTTCACTTTGCAAAAAGTATCCAAGAGCATTCTAATGTCGCTAAAATTGTGCAACTATTTTTACTTTGCAAATATAAACAGACTAATCAAGAAAGTTTTATTTTTACTCCCAATAAACTATGGATTCAGTACGAAGATTACCTTTGTACATTTAATTTTTGGCACGATTTCAGTAATTAAGCGCAAAGAGTGAAAGTTGCACAATCCTAGCGAGATTGGAATGTTCTTGGTCCCTTTTTGCGAAATGCAATCCAATTCAGATACAACATAATCTCGCCACATAAAGAGTATTGCATCAATCGAAAGATTTGTCGGATATTCAACGTTGAATTTATCATAAAACGGTAGCAGTCTTGTTTTTTTTTTTTTTTTTTTTTTTTTTTTTTTTTTTTTTTATCGGAGGATACATTCAAAAAACAGTATATCTTTACAAAACTCGCTTGATTATGGGCTAGTCATCGTATTTGCATGACGTTACACCATTTCAGATAGACTGAAAAGTTGTTTTATGCCATCACATGATCCTTTAGAACAAATCGAGTAAAATATTTACTCAAGAGTATGCACTCGAATAACAAGCTTTCGGCTGTTTACAGTTGGACTGCATTTTGCAATTTGGAACTATAAATTCTTGCTCTTCTGGAAAAACACTTATGTGCATAAGGAAACTTATGGCACATAAGTTCGCATCGCATCGATCCGCAACGGATCGGAGGAGGGTGATTTTCCGAAAATTTTTCAATTTCCCGAATCAGACCCTAATCTACAGTATCCGATACCAGGCCCATACTGTAAGATACGGTTTTCCGAAACCGAAAATTTTTACAAGTCCGAAAATCCGAATTTTTTGCACAATCTGGCAACACTGTATCGAAAAATTAACTAATTTCTCGCCCCATCTGGCAACACAGTAAAATGCGATGTTGCAAAATTTCACCAATAATTAAATCATTTATTTATGTCCTCCGTCCGGCAACGCTGCTGCGCCATCTTGAAAAATACACCATTGCATAAACCGCAGATTAAAGGGGCTACATTACACGATTGCATAACCCGATTATTGAAGGGGCAACATGCAATACTTTTACTTTACAGCGTTGCCATATTGAACAATAATCCCTATACAACACTGTATTTTATTTCGTATTTTTCTGCACCATAATGCAACGCTGTTGGATTTTTTATCGAGTCAAGTCGGCATTTTCTCCCTACTCCTGTCAGCTGATTGCAACTGTCGGGGGGTGGGGTTGGCCGCCCGTTCCTGGCACATGCGAGCAGTAGTTGTCGGAACTCGGTTTTCTCCCCGCTTTCAAAGCAAAAAAAAAAAGATAACTTCGAGGGGAGAGGCTACATGTTAAGACAAGATCAACACAACTTTTTATCAACACTTAAAAAGGCAAGTAAGAATAATTAAATTCTGTTTAGAAAACTGACTGCAGACAAGAACATTCATCGAAAAAGAACTGGAAGGGCACCTTTGATAATTTTTAACATAGAAATTTTTTACCAATCACTTTAAATTCTCAATTCAAAATACAGACATTTATCATTAAACTACAGTCGTTAAACGACTCATTAAATTACAGTTTTATCTTTTAAAGTCTTCTCCTCGGTCTGACTTAATACAAAATTACATACAGATGCATACCTATCCCTCGTTGAACTACTGAAGTTGCATATAAGAGGGAAACAAAAAATTTCGGACCTTACGGTACCACTTGTACAATCTTTACTCCGAGTTTCCTTTTTGGTGACTAACAGAGAGTTTTTTAATTGAGCGGAGCATAGAAAATTTGTTTGCAATTTTAAAAAAAAAAGTTTGGAAATATACAAACAATTTTGGAAAATTTGAAAAATTGAAAAATTCTGGAAAAATTAAGCAATTACAATTACAATTTAACGCTTACAATTTATTATTTCTCCTGTACTACTTATCAAATTTACATTTTATGAGCAATATGTATTCAAACGGCAATCGGGAATAATCTCTCTCCAAAAAGGGCAAAAAAGAGGATATTTACAGACAGAAGCAAGTCTATTATTGAACAACTAAAGTTACATAAAAAATACAAAACAAAAACTTCGGACCTTACGGTACCACTCCTACAATCTTTACTCAGAGCGTCCTTTTCGGTGACCACCAAAAAGACTAGTAATCTGCAAATTGGAGAGAGAAAACACATTACTATATTCATTACCATTTTACATTTAAGAAAGACCATTGTTTATTTTAAAAAAAGGAAGATTGACTCTAACTCGGTATACAACAACCACATACTTAATTACAACATTTTCGTTTTCCGCCTTTCAGTTGTAGGAAAATAAAATTTTAGGACAAATTAAGAAAAATCATACAAAAGGATGAAATCAAAAGAGATAAAGGCGAAGAGTACTTGTTTAGGCCTAGAAACTAGATACTCTAGAAAAATCAAAATCAGTGTTTGGTTCATACTCGCTATCGGCCCATACTCGATAGGGTAGGATTTTCTTTTAATAGGTCACAATCAGGAGGGTTTTAACTTACTAACTAAAGGGGAGGGGACACTTATATTTAATATCACAGAGAGGGGGGAGCAGTCCATTCCGAGGGAAATGCAGAAAGGTGTTTTACACAAAGTGACAACAAGAAATGAAACTGCCATCTCTGGCCAAAGAATGGCAAATTTCTATGTTTACCTTCTGCAAAAAAAAATTCATCCTTGTAATCAGTTGGTCAATCGGGAAACCAAACCGAGGGCCAAACTGATTAGAAATAAATAGACACAATGGACCTTTAGACAAGGTACGAGTTTCAGCATTCTGATACACATTTCTTCACCAAAAGGGTGTCCCGGGATAAGCATGTCAAAATGCCCTTGTGAATGGATTTTTATTTTAACCATTTTAAGTCATCAAGGGTGTCCTAAAACTTAGGTTTTGGGGTATTTTAGCCCCCCATTCCCCTCCGCCCTCCCCCCTCAGACCCCCAAAAACAAGTTTTTCGGGCTATTTTTGACTATGCTAACGTCTTTTCCTCATAACATTCGTAATTTTCGATAGAATTGAACCAAAATTTGTCAGAATCTTCATCAATTAGCTTAGTTTCTGTAGAAGTATTCATTATCATCGGATAATATTTTAGCTTTTAAAAAAATTCGTAATATTTTTTTAAAAAACTCATTTTTTCTTTTTTTCGCGGCTAGGCGACATATAGAAACGAGGACACAAACGAAAATTGTCTCTCTTCGTAAGGTATACATCCAATAAGATACAGAAAAAATTTCGTTTTGATCGGAGTGGTGCGCCATACTTAAAAACGCAATTTGGCCAAAATGCCATAACATTGCCTCCTTTGATGACTAGGCGTGGAGAAATGTAGGGAGAAATATCCGGTTTTATCGTCTGACCTCTTAAGTAATCCACGTAAGTGCCTTGAGTCAAAATTTCGAGTCGATCAGAGTGGTGCGCAACACCCAAGTACGCAATGTTCTAACCTCAAAACGGCCAAAATGTCTATTTCGGCACCCATTATCACTCCGCGTGAAAAAAAAGAGAGGTTCATCCGATTTGATCGTCCTAACTCATGACTAAGACACTTAAGCACATTTAGTCAAAATATCGTGTTGATCAGAGTGGTGCGCAACAACCGATTGCACTTAAGTGTACTCAAGTGTAATGTACTTAAGTGTCTAATTTATGAGGTAGGACAATAATATTGGATGTTCCTCTTCTTATTTTTTCACACTTAGCGATAATGTGTGCCGAAATGGGCAACTTGGGCGTTTTGAGGTTAGAAATCGGCGCGTTCGGTTGTTGCGCACCATTCTGATCAACACGATATTTTGACTAAATGTACTTAAGTGTCTTAGTCATGAGTTAGGACGATCAAATCGGATGTACCTCTCTTTTTTTTTTCACGCGGAGTGATAATGGGTGCCGAAATAGACATTTTGGCCGTTTTGAGGTTAGAACATTGCGTACTTGGGTGTTGCGCACTACTCTGATCGACTCGAAATTTTGACTCAAGGCACTTACGTGGATCACTTAAGAGGTCAGACGATAAAACCGGATATTTCTCCCTACATTTCTCCACGCCTAGTCATCAAAGGAGGCAATGTTATGGCATTTTGGCCAAATTGCGTTTTTAAGTATGGCGCACCACTCCGATCAAAGCGAAATTTTTTCTGTATCTTATTGGATGTATAACTTACGAAGAGAGACAATTTTCGTTTGTGTCCTCGTTTCTATATGTCGCCTGGCCGCGAAAAAAAGAAAAAATGAGTTTTTTTAAAAATATTACGAATTTTTTTAAAAGCTAAAATATTATCCGATGATAATGAATACTTCTACAGAAACTAAGCTAATTGATGTAGATTCTGACAAATTTTGGTTCAATTCTATCGAAAATTACGAGTGTTATGAGGAAAAGACGTTAGCATAGTCAAAAATAGCCCGAAAAACTTGTTTTTGGGGGTCTGAGGGGGGAGGGCGGAGGGGAATGGGGGGCTAAAATACCCCAAAACCTAAGTTTTAGGACACCCTTGATGACTTAAAATGGTTAAAATAAAAATCCATTCACAAGGGCATTTTGACTTGCTTATCCCGGCATACCCTTTCATGTAAAACACGATGCGCACAACGAAAATTACCGAAATCAACTCCTTACGAAGATATTTAATGATTCTGGATGCGTGAATTCAAACCACCCGCTCATGAAAACTCGATGCTCTACGTGATTAACATCGCGCGCTAAACGTTTATCATGACAGTCTCTGCAATATAAAAATCTGGCAACCTCAATCTTGACGCTTTTGCTCAGCTACAGCAAATTTCTTATAGTTTGAACGACATATGGTGGGGAATGAACATTGCTCGATAGAGAAGATTGCCGAAACCGTCGAAGTGCGTGATTTGACTCACGTAGAGCTTTGAGTTTCTTGTGAGCGGGCAGTTCAAATTCTCGTAACCAATGTGAAATAAAACCGTAATTTCTTCGTTAAGAGTTGGTTTCAATAATTTTCGTTGCGCGAGTCGTGTTCTACGTGAAATTCTGGTTAAGAGACATGTATCAGAATCATTTCATTCGTACCTTGTCTACTGGTCCATTGGGATGCTTCACAAAATAAACTGGTCGAAACTCAAAGAATAAGCTTAGGCATGTTAAGCGAAATTCCTAGGAGGAAAGAAAAGTGAAAAATTCACTAGGAAAGAGAGTTTTGGTGGGGCATACAGCATCCCATTCATTCAAGATAATAATGAAACAAAAGAGACAGTAAATCAACTGACAGGAGGCGTTTATCAAAGGATTCTACAAAATATTTTCGCATGGAAAATTCTCAGAGAAAACTAAATTTACACTGGACTATTACTTTAGCTCGAGTGACGAGTAATCCACGCACATAGTCACAAGTAACAAAATTACAAATCGTACAAAATTTCAATTGACTGTTTACTTTGTTTGAAGTTGCAAATCAAACATCCAAAACAAGGAAAATTACACGCTTCGAGTCTACAATTTTAAACATTCTATCATTTGCTGATTCTATTCAACGACGGGCGCTGCTGTGTTGTTACATAAAGTTTGTAAAAAGGATTAAAATTTCAAAGTTTGTGATACAAAGTATGTAATACAAAAGCTCATTTGAATTTACTTTCTATTCGTACAATGGAAAACGGTAGGGTAGGTGGGGGTAAAAGGCCGCACGGGGAAAAAGGCCGCACCCGATTTTTCCCCGAAAATGTTTAAGGTTAGACATAAGAAAACTAAGGATGTTGTACCGAGAGTGCACAACAGAAAATTCATATTTAATAAAAAGGACCCTGCACACCTCTTATGGGAAGCTGCACCAAGACCGATTGCCTTCTGACTTATATCATTGGATTCTCCTCAAGATGCTGATCAAAAGTTATAATTGCGCCAACTTTCTACGATGCACCATTTTCGGAAAAAAGCTAAGTGAAGATTCAATTATTTGGCGATAAAAAGCCAGAAAGATTCCTCATTTCAGTACTCGAGTGAACAAATCAGGGGTACTCCCGCACCGACCGGCAGTCTTATCTCGGATTCCGCACGCCGTTTTGCTCGACCATCCAAATCAGTTCCTCTCTCTCTACCGCTCTATTCACCTCTTCCCCATGTCTCTGAATCGTTGATCAGTGATCGACATCCAACGTTGCCTAGTTTCACTAACAATTTTTAGTTTTATTTTCGTTTACATTAATTCAGCGGTTGTGATAGAGCTTTTTGAAGGATTGAAGGAGGAGAGGCCTTCAATTCTTCGAGGCACCGATACTGATCTAGGAAGCAACATATCGTGACAGCGTATTATCCCATTAATGAAAAAGAAAGCTAAAAAAGTGTCATTAATAAGTGAGAAAAAAACTAGAAAATAACTAAATACGTAACGAGGGGAGGGAGAACAGAGAAATGCTTAAGATATGAAAGCTTTGGAAAAAACTGAAAAATAGGGGGAAAATTAAAGTAAATGCAGCAATTCTTCATAGCAAAAATGATACCTTTTTAGTCACGTGGTCATCAGAGAATAAGCAAGCATACGCCCTAAAATAAGTAAAAGTAGGAATCTTTGTACACAAAAAAGGGGGAAAATAGGTGACAGTAGGTTCACCAGCATTTAAAACGACTGTCACTAACTATAATAACTACTATACTATCACGTTATACTGTAACTATAAAACTATTAAATAAATAAATAAGTATTAACGCAATTGATTCAATTTGAAAACAAATCGACCAACTATCATCGCTCCTTTCAAAAATATCTCGTTCGAATTTTTAGAGATATTTTTCTTTTGCGCTCAATACGGTACGACTAACAATGAAGGAGGGAGTATTAAGTTTTGGTTTGGTATTCAACAGGAGCGGAGCAAAACTCTTTCAGAAAAATTCAGTGAAAGAAAACAAAAATACACTTGTACTATTATTATTATTAGTATTATGAAACTGTTTGCGAGGAGAGGGGGGGTTTATAAACATGCGAATTATTCAATTCCTAAATACTCAAATTCAATATCATAC